TGGCCAGGGATAGTAATAGTGAGATACTGGCTACAGCTACATTTGTAGCAGTGATGAAATGGTGAAAAACATCAAATGTATTCATAATAAATACGCCACAATAACATAAGTAAGCAGTGCCAATTAGTTAGCCAATGAGTTCACTAAACCCTAGACTACTTTCTTGTTTTATTTGTGTAACCATATAATGGGTAAAATGTGTTTAAATGTCTATTTCCTTTTGAGTAATGGCATTTATTATTGATAGTGAATGCACCGCAAAAAGGTTGTTTGCAAGGTGTTTACACGTGGAGAGGTGTTTAAACCTAACATGCTAATTTGCATCAGCATCATTTGCTATTTGTTTGAGCCGAATTCTAATTAGTCAATCAAAAGGCAACATCAAGATCCTTGGTTTCTGATTGGTTAGAGGGGTGCTAGCCTACGCAGTGATGTCCTGTCAGGGGGTTGAGCCACAAGGACGCCAGGGTGTGCTGTTGGTCTCAGCGTCTGGGAAAGTCTGGTTTGACTGTTTGGATAATTAAAAAGTCAACTTTGTATTTTGAGTGTCAGGGCTAGAGCAGACTGAGCGGAGGGAATATTTTGTGAGAGTATCGGCCGACGGCCTGTATAGGTCCAGCAGACGATACACTTTCACATATTCTTTACCATGACGGGGAGTCAGGGTGATAGTTGGAATATGGATGAGCTGGAGGAGGAGGATGAGAGCTGGCAGTTAAGGAGGGTGAATAAAGCAAAGCGGTTTAAAGGGAGTTAAGAGAGTGAGGAGAGATGGAATGTTGTTGTGAGGTTTGATGAAGGTGGAGTGAAGAATATGGATCCAATAAAGCTGACGAAAATAATAAAGAATCAAGTTGTGGAGGTTAAATATGCTAGAATTTTGAATGATGGCAATTTGTTAATTGGGTGTAACTTGGAAGAGCAGGCTGAAAGAGCTGAAATATCGCACGCGGTTGGGAGAGTAGAGGTGGTGAAGGTGGTGAGAGTGGGCGAGCAAGGAAGTAAGGGGTGATCTACGGGATTCCTGTAATGGCAGAGATGAGGGACCTAGTAAAACATTTAAAGGAAAAGTGTGATGTGGTCCAGAGTGCAAAACAGTTGACTAGGGGAATTGAGAAAAAAGAAACTGAGTCAGTTTTAATTCAGTTCAGTACTAAAGAGTTACCTAAAGAGGTGTTCTATGGGTATATGAGGTATAGTGTGAGAGAGTTTAGTCAAAAACCAGTGAGATGTTTCAAATGTCAAAAGTTTGGTAATGTAGCTAAAATGTGCAAAGGGGAGAAAAGGTGTGCAAAATGTGGAGGAGCTCATGACTATGGGGAATGTGGAGAAGGGAGTAAGGCCTAAATGCTCTAACTGTGGAGGGGCACACAGTGCGGCCTACTGGGGGTGTGAAGTAATGAGAAGGGAGACTGAGATTCAGAATGTGAAGAAGAAGGACCGAGTATCCTACGCAGAAGCAGTGAAAAGAGTGGAGCAAACAAAGAGGGTCAGTGGAGGAAGAGGCAGAGAGGAGGCAGCCACAGGGAGAGTGTGGGAACATAGTCAAGAAGCGGCAAGGGAGAGGGAGAAAGGGGAGTGGAGGGGAAAGAGGCACCTAGTTATCTTTATTGCAGGGGTAATCAATGCAACAGGTGAGGTTAAATCAAAAACTGAAAGGATTCAAATTATTACAAAGGCAGCAGTTCAGCATTTGGGTATGGCAGGTCTAAAATGGGAAAAGGTACGAGATGGTCTTAGTGTCACATCAGCAAGCCAGGAAGTAAGTAGTGTGGGATGATCATACTGATTATGCTACTGTTACAATGGAATGCAAGGAGTTTATTAACGAATGGTCAGGATTTTAAGCAGTTTGTTGATAGTAGAGATGTAAAACCAGATATAATTTGTATTCAAGAAACCTGGTTAAAGCCTAGTTTGGATTTTGTCTTATTTGATTATATTGTTATTAGACTAGATAGAGAAAGAGGAAATGGAGGAGGCTGTGCTACTTTTGTAAGAAGGGGTATAGGAAAAGAAAAGGAATATGTAGTAGTGGAAGTATGGACAGATAAGAAGAGAATTGTGGTAATAAATTATTATAACCCTCGCAGACAGTTAGAGGTAAATGGGCTAGAGGAAATAGAAGGCCGGGGTGGAGATAATGTTATTTGGTGTGGGGACATTAATGCCCATAGTACATTGTGGGGTGGAGAAAAGACAGATAATAATGGTCAGGTAATTGAGGAGATGTTTAGTGATAGGAGTTTAGTATGTGTGAATGATGGCAGAATGACTAGAATAGATGTCAGAACAGGTAAAGAGTCAGTGTTGGATCTCACATTTATGTCCAGTAGTTTGGCTCCAAAGTGTGAGTGGTAAGTGTATGGAGAGGGCACTATTGGAAGTGATCACTATCCAATTATGTGTAGTCTAGACATTAGTATGGTGGTACATTCAGTGAATTGTAATGGAAGATGGATCTTCAGAAAGGCAGATTGGAAGAAGTATAAGGAAACAAGTGATGCTTATTTGAGTGCAGTCCAGGAGTCAAGTGATGTTGAGAAGTATGAGACTGATGTGAGGCAGAGTACATACTATATGGCTGCAGTGATGTCAATTCCAAAAAGCTCAGGAAAACTGGCAAGGAAAGCAGTTCCATGGTGAAATGATAAATGTGAGAAGGCAGTTAAGGACAGGAATAGAGCTTTCAGAGTACTAAAAAGAACACACAGTTATCAACACCTGATTGAATATAAACGATTACAGGCAGTGGTGAGGAGAACAATATTATATTATATATATACAATAATATTATATATACAGTACAGGCCAAAAGTTTGGACACACCTTCTCATTCAATGTGTTTTCTTTATCTTCATGACTATTTACATTGTAGATTCTCACTGAAGGCATCAAAACTATGAATGAACACATGTGGAGTTATGTACTTAACAAAAAAAGGTGAAATAACTGAAAACATGTTTTATATTCTAGTTTCTTCAAAATAGCCACCCTTTGCTCTGATTACTGCTTTGCACACTCTTGGCATTCTCTCCATGAGCTTCAAGAGGTAGTCACCTGAAATGGTTTTCCAACAGTCTTGAAGGAGTTCCCAGAGGTGTTTAGCACTTGTTGGCCCCTTTGCCTTCACTCTGCGGTCCAGCTCACCCCAAACCATCTCGATTGGGTTCAGGTCCGGTGACTGTGGAGGCCAGGTCATCTGCCGCAGCACTCCATCACTCTCCTTCTTGGTCAAATAGCCCTTACACAGCCTGGAGGTGTGTTTGGGGTCATTGTCCTGTTGAAAAATAAATGATCGTCCAACTAAACGCAAACCGGATGGGATGGCATGTCGCTGCAGGATGCTGTGGTAGCCATGCTGGTTCAGTGTGCCTTCAATTTTGAATAAATCCCCAACAGTGTCACCAGCAAAACACCCCCACACCATCACACCTCCTCCTCCATGCTTCACAGTGGGAACCAGGCATGTGGAATCCATCCGTTCACCTTTTCTGCGTCTCACAAAGACACGGCGGTTGGAACCAAAGATCTCAAATTTGGACTCATCAGACCAAAGCACAGATTTCCACTGGTCTAATGTCCATTCCTTGTGTTTCTTGGCCCAAACAAATCTCTTCTGCTTGTTGCCTCTCCTTAGCAGTGGTTTCCTAGCAGCTATTTGACCATGAAGGCCTGATTGGCGCAGTCTCCTCTTAACAGTTGTTCTAGAGATGGGTCTGCTGCTAGAACTCTGTGTGGCATTCATCTGGTCTCTGATCTGAGCTGCTGTTAACTTGCGATTTCTGAGGCTGGTGACTCGGATGAACTTATCCTCAGAAGCAGAGGTGACTCTTGGTCTTCCTTTCCTGGGTCGGTCCTCATGTGTGCCAGTTTCGTTGTAGCGCTTGATGGTTTTTGCGACTCCACTTGGGGACACATTTAAAGTTTTTGCAATTTTCCGGACTGACTGACCTTCATTTCTTAAAGTAATGATGGCCACTCGTTTTTCTTTAGTTAGCTGATTGGTTCTTGCCATAATATGAATTTTAACAGTTGTCCAATAGGGCTGTCGGCTGTGTATTAACCTGACTTCTGCACAACACAACTGATGGTCCCAACCCCATTGATAAAGCAAGAAATTCCACTAATTAACCCTGATAAGGCACACCTGTGAAGTGGAAACCATTTCAGGTGACTACCTCTTGAAGCTCATGGAGAGAATGCCAAGAGTGTGCAAAGCAGTAATCAGAGCAAAGGGTGGCTATTTTGAAGAAACTAGAATATAAAACATGTTTTCAGTTATTTCACCTTTTTTTGTTAAGTACATAACTCCACATGTGTTCATTCATAGTTTTGATGCCTTCAGTGAGAATCTACAATGTAAATAGTCATGAAGATAAAGAAAACGCATTGAATGAGAAGGTGTGTCCAAACTTTTGGCCTGTACTGTAATATTATTGCAAAATTATTGCTCAGTGGCAGCAACCATGGGAGAGAGACGAAAGGCAGGCATTTATTCTCAGTGGCCAGTAGAGTAACCGATCGAGGTAAATCTTGTGGTAGAGAAGGGATGAGTAGGAAGTCACTATTTCAAGACAGAATTGGCCACACTTTCTCAAACAATACACTTCTCATTATAGGGAAACACCACAATGGCTTATGTTTTGAGTGTCTGGAGCCTCAGCCTGTACAACACGTCATTGTGTCTTGTAAAAAATACAGTAATGAAAGGCGGGAGATGCTGGGAGAGATGAGAGAGATGAGGTTGGAGGAGGTCTCAGGAAAGGACATTCTAAGAGTGGGAGCAAGTAGGAGAGGAAAGCGCTGTCTCTTTAAGTGTCTGCTGAAGAGACTATAGGCAGAGATATTGATGAGTAGATCCTGAAGGTGGCAGCAATACAACTCACTGGATGTCAGCTGCCGTTAAACCTCGAAGAAGAAGAAGAAGAAGAAGAAGAAGAAGAAGAAGAAGAAGAAGAAGAGGAGGAGTAGTTAGGGGGTGGGGCGACGACATCGAAGGTGAGCAGGGGTGTGTGAGGGCAGTTGGTTTCAGGTCGTCTACACGACTGAATTGCGGTCTACGAACTTTAATAAGAGTCATAATGAAGTTACAAGACGCAGTGAGTTACTGCTGCTGCTGCTATTGTGAGATTAATGCAGTGTGTTAAGACTATCAGAGTCTAGTGTGAAACTGCAGCTAATGTTAAGCTAATAGCCGCTCTAACGTCGGGCTAGCATGTTGGCTTTGGTCTTCATTTGCTTTGATGCTAACAGCAACGCTATCGATACGAAAGTGTTAGTAGACTTTGGACTTTATTAGCCTGGGTGCTAACCGTCAGCTAGCGCTCCAACCCGACCTTGGCCGAGAGGAAACCAGACAGCGCACTGGGTGACCAGGTAAAGCCCAGCTGCACCTCTGGCACCGAGGGAAGAGAGACTTTTCTTCATATAAATGAGGACTGCTGTGAGGAGCCGCTTCTTACCTTGGCGTGAGGACCGCCGTTACTTAAGTGAGGAGCCGATGTAAAGATCAGTAAGCATAGGGGTAAACTGTCTGGACCTCTGAGGGTGAGTAGCCCGCCATCCCAGGTCACACTTGGCGGCCATCATCTCACTGGTGGCTCAACTTACACCGTCACCCATCAGGCCTGCAATGGGGGTGTTATCTAAAGTACTTTCGCCGGCATTTTATTTTCTTTATTAAAGTGTGGGCGCACAATTATTGTGAAGTTGGCTTCCGATTGGAATTTCTCGGCCCACCTTAAATGTCGCATAACGCCTGTAGATGGCGATATTGACTCATTTTCAAACTAGTTCATGAACTGAAAAATTAAACAAACAAGGGGAAGATGAAATGAGAATGATCAATAGAGTGCAGTTGTCCTAAATTTTGGGCATTTTAACTGTGGCATATTTTTCTTAATGTCCTTACTCATGGTAAACAGCTTTTTAGTCTTGCTATTTCTGCCTATTTGCTGTGGTCTTGTTTGCTCTGTATTAAAAAGTATTAAACTAATACTCCATTGCGACGGGAGATATCACAGGGTATCATAATCCCGAGTTTTATTCATCTCAATTAAGAAATGGTCCAGATCACAAACTACTATGCTTAGACCTGTCAAATCTGGACTAGATTAACATGGAGACTCCAGAGACTCATTAAAACACAGTTTCTGCTTGTTCAATTGTGTTCATTATGTCTTTAGTTTCTGAAACTTCCGCCTTCCTCAGGAGTGTAACTTGTTGGTGGTTGTGAGGAGTCTTTATTAGCTGCTCTGTCAGTCAGCTGATATTAGGAAGGCGTGCCACCTGCTGTCAGTCCACTGCCTTTCCAGGACACTGCTCCAGGTGTGGGAGAGCATGTATGGCCCCTCGTCCCTGTTCATCTTCCCTGGGCCCTGCTTCCTTATTTCGATAGCCTCCCTGATCCACTGCCAGTTGTCCTCGGTGTGTATGACTCTGGCCTTGTCCCAGTCCATATGATGGTTTTCTCTTTTGCAGTGATCTGTTATGGCTGATTTGTAGGTTTCTTGTTGTGACTTTTCGTATATTGATCTTGTTTGTCTTATTTTTTTCTCATTCTCGCATTCCTTTTGATGTTCTTTTTTACGTGTGCTGAAGCTCCTCCTGGTCTCCCCGATGTGTCTTTTATTGCATGATTGGCATGGTATCTCGTATATGACGTTGCATTTATTGTTTTGTTCGATCTTGTCTTTTGGGTGTACCAGAATTTGTCATAGTTTTGTGTGTGGTTTGACCGGTGTGTTTATGTTGTTTCCTCATTGTTCTCTGAATGTGTTCAGTGACCCCTTTGACGTACGGTAGCGTCACAGCTCCTCTGTATTCTGTTTTGTTTGTGTACATCTTTTTCTCCCGCTGTGTGGTTTCTTTATTTTTTACCTGTCCTGCACCTTTCTCTATTGCCCATTGTAGATACTGACATGTTTTCAGTGCTTCCTGTATGTTTTTTTCTTCCTGTGCTGTCTTCCGGATCTGTTATTATTGCTGCGCGTTCATATAGCGTTCTGACCACTGATAATTTGTGTGTTGTGGGGTGTTCTGATGTCCATAGTAAATATTGGTCTGTGTGTGTGGGTTTTCTGTGGATTTTTATTTTGATGTCACCGTTGTCTGTGTGGTGAATTTTAATGTCCAGAAAGGGTATGGATTGTTCTGTTTCCTCCTCGTGTGTGAATTTGATGTTCCCGGTGGTGTCTATGGTGTTTAAATGGTCTGTGAGTTTTTGAGTGTGTCCTGCTTTTATTTTTTCCACATGCGTGAAACTTTTTTGTATGCTTGCAAAGCACAGCCTGCTGGGATGTTTCTATGGATCTACTGGCACCAGAAGGGCTCTTTAGGTCTAAGTACATACAGTACATTTGTGCACAGTAATGAGCAGGTGAAATGTCTGTCTAGCTTACATATGACGTGCCTCAAGATTTAGGAAAATACAATTTTATTGAATATAATAAAGTAAAAAGTCACTTGACATGCTGCTGTTCTGTGCTATGACCTATTTAAGTGCTGGAAGTTGTTATTTACGTGATAACGCCTGAATGCAACACAAGCTCCACACCAAATGAGTGCCGTGCTGCGCTGCTGTGGGAGGAGCGTGTTTGTCTGTGCGTAACAGCAGCCCTTTGATGTTTACACACTGTCCATAACAATAACTATGTCAGCTGACAAACTGCACCGGGGACAGGTTTGGTCAGGAAAATGTGGCCTGAGCCGTGTGTGTGTGTGTGTGTGTGTGTGTGTGTGTGTGTGTGTGTGTGTGTGTGTGTGTGTGTGAGAGTGAGACCCTGTAGAGACAGAAATGACACGATGACATAATACTATAAAAAGTATATTGTTGTGTAGGGATGTCACCGCCGATCACGTTATTTTTACAAAATTGGAATCGGTAATAAAAGATCGGAGGAATCAAAAGAATGGCCAGGTTTTTCATCTATGCTGTTGACTGTTGCCTCCGCTTTCCAATATATAAAGTGTGGCGATCCTGTATATCTTATAAATATATTTTTTTTATAAGACAGTCAGCTGATGGCTTGCTAACCTCCAGACACTGAGGTACCTCCAGACACACCCACCGGTGCTATCGCCAGTGGGATGGCTCGATCAGCTGAGCCCAGGTAGACCGGCCCCTACATAATGCCGCTCCTGTTAGTATGGCGAGAGACTCGCTGAGTGAGAAATGAGCCAGAAGTCCTCTGCGTATTCGGCCTGCCACGGCATTTTACACCGCTCAAAGTCCGCAAAATTGGTGCGCATCCCTGTGGAATATCATCCATCTGGCCACTGGCCTCACCTCAGAGATTCCGCCACGGATATCAAGGGATCCTACGGAGCCTCCACGCCTGCAACAACACCGGAGCGTTACGGCATTCATCCACACAAAAGCCGGGGGTTACTTTCCGTTTCATTGTTCCTTATTTGGAACCTTTGGGCCGGGTTGATTTATTTTGCAACTGAACTGAGTCAGAGCAAACGTGGATTTTCTTTACCTCTTTGTTTGCGGGAAAACCTGAGGTGCAGTTTTCTTTTGTTTAGCAAACTGTGTGGATTGAACTTAACTGAACTGTGTTATGTTATTTGGAAATCCCAGAGTGGAGTTTTTTGTTTGAACTGGATTGAACTGACTGAACAGAACGGAGCATTTCTTTTCTTTGGTGGAAAAAATATATACCTTCTTGAAACTGATTACTGTTGTATTTGTCTTTTTGTATAGTATAGTATAATTATTTTGTTCTACAGAAACCAGGTAAAAACAGTTTAATTTTGGTGTTAAGGGACCTCTTTATGGGGTTTGACTGAGTAAAAGAAAAATATTTGTTTTATGTGTCAAACCGCTACAAAAGATATAGGCCTACTTTGTTGAAGACAAGAAGATATTGAATTTGTTTACATTTTGTGCTGCTGAACCACTGATGAGCTTTTCAGATACTATTTAGATAAAAAACAAACCTTATGGGACAACTTGGATGCATTCATTTTTTTTCTTTCTTAATGCTTTGCAAAGTATCGGATCAGACTCGGTATCGGACTTGGTTTCAAAATAAAGCACTGGTATCGGATCGGGTGCAAAAAAATTGTGATTGGGACAACCCTATTGTTATGTTACATGAAGCGTCCGTCGCGCAAAATAATACTTTAGTTTATGAAGAGATAAGACAGAGCCCTCTCTTTTTATATGCTTTACTTAAAAGTGTGTGAATTGACCTGGTTATGAAACGTCCGTAGCGCCAAATAATATAATTGTAGTTTCTAAAGAGCGAAGACAGAAAAAAAAAAATCAGCAGCAGCGGTCATATCAGCAGCAGTGCGCCGCTGCTAGTTGCATAGGGGAAATACTGATATAAACTCAATAATGTCTTGAAACAAATCTTTACTGTCAAAATAAATATTTCTGACTACTGACTATCAAACTACTTCAAGCAGTTGCCACTGCCTGCAGGTAGAGAGAGGAGAGGGGGGAGGGTTTGGTTTGTCTCAGCCAGCAGCTAAAGTTTACAAGAATTTGCCAAATTTTAAGATTTGTGGCAAACTAAGAAACAGATTACACACAGACATCTTTAATTTTAGCGTGTTTTTAACAAGCTGTTTGCTTATGTAACAAGCACGCTGTGGTCACTAGCCATAAAAAACATGCACAGGGAAATATCGCTGTTTATGCTGATATGATGCACATTTATGCTTGTTGAACAAGTGGTAGCCTACTTAATACGTCCGACAAGGATGTTATTTTATTTTTTGGGGGGGGGGCTTTTTAACTAGAATCACACTATAATTATATTTAACCTGAAAAAAGCTTTTTGTACACCTATTGTTGTACACCTATTTTGAAAAATACATCAATGTATTGATGTATTTTTCAAAATTCAAGATCAAGGGGTGTCGGTAGTGTAGTGGATAGTGCCGGCGCCCCATGTACAAAAATAATCTTAAAAACAAAATTAAGATCAAAACTTGAATTTTCAGTTTCAAATTTTATTTTTTCAAGTACAAAACATTTGGCCCCAATATAGCTCCATACTTTGCATTTGTAATAAAATGGTGACTGGTGTAGTGAATCAAGGCTACATAAAATGGAGGAGGCTGCATGTACAATATGTCAATCAGTCACAGGCAGAAAAGAAGCTTCCACAAGATAACCACTGCCAACTTCACCCCACTCACTTCACCCCAGTCAGCGTATTTTGTTAACAAGTTTGATACAGCTTTTATGATAGACTATGACCTCACAACAACCTTTCACTGCTTGAAAAAGTATTACTAAAAGTAGTGTTTGGAGTTGGAACCAGCAACCCCAGACATCCGTTTGTAGAGCTGCCTTAACACACCACATGCATAATGATGGCAAAAGACACAAAAGCTGTTTTTAATATGAATATGTCTTTTAAGAGTGTGCCACTATTTTCCTAATCTCCATAAACTCTAAATGCAAAGTGGCTGCTTCTCTCAAAATCAGTTGTGCGTGTTACAGTATGCTTCCTTGCATCTTAAAACTCCTCACACACACTTGCTCTCTTTATGGACAATATTAGCCATGATGCTCCCCCTCCCTGTCT